CACATCCTGGAGGTCGGCTCCACTCACCAAGTTCGTAGAGAACGAGGGGAGGTGAAGACCCGACAGTGAGCCAGACGGAACCGCTGGACACTGCAGGACCGTGGAGGAGTGCGCAAGGACTGGGCCCCCAGAGGGGTCTGCCAAGGAGACTGCAACCGGCCGACTGAGCGGCTTGAGTGTGGTGCTGTCGCGAAAGAAGGAGCGGGAAGCACCTGAGTCAAGTGTGAAGGTGTGCAAGGCCTCAGCAGGCGCAGTACTAGAGAGAGCAGACTCACTAGCACCTGGAGCAGCAGACTCACTGGCACCTAGAGCAGCAGCCTCATCAGCACCTAGAGCAGCAGACTCACCAGCACCTAGAGCAGCAGACTCTATACCTGGGTCCGGCGGCGTGCACAGGTAACAGTCACCCTCAACACTAACAGGCAATGCATACATGGCAGATAGAATAGCATCAAAGTCCAGTGCAAAGATATCCGCTCTCTGCTACAGCAGCTCCACGCAGCTGGGGAACTCAGCCTCGTCACCAAACTTTGTACGCCAGGCGTCGCTCAGACAGGCGAAGCAGCGGGACTGTGTGTGACCTATCGTCCCGCAAGTTTGACCAGCCCGATCACCTGTGCGAATGGCGTACGGGCAGCGAGCAGTACTCCGAGACCCTCTACTCTGAGCGTACCACTCACGCGGCTGCAGGGGCGTAAGGGTCTCGCGCGGACGTCGCTGGAGCTGTATCTGGCCACCGCCAGAAACTCCCCACTGCGCAGCTCCGCCTAGACTGCCACTGCTGCCGCCGCCATCACTCCCATTGCTGCCACCACCGCCGCCACCACTCCCACGGCTACCACGAAGAGACGCCATAGCGGAAAGGCAGGGCGGCGAACAGGTACTAGGGTAGGGCGAGGCGGCGCACCGTCAGTGAAGGGCGGCGCGCGGCCAGGGCAGGGGCAGGGCGGAGCGCGGGCAGTAGGGCGGCGTGCTGGCCCTAGGGTGACCCGACGGGCAGGGCAGGGGTGGCGCGCAGGCCCTAGGGCGACGCGACGGGCAGGGTAGTGGCGGCGCGCGGGCCCCAGGGCGACGTGACTGGCACGGCAGGGGCGGCGCACGGGCCCTAGGGCGACGCGACGGGCAGGGGAGGGGCGGCGCGCGTGCCCTAGGGTGACGCGACGGGCAGGGCAGGGGCGACGCGCAGGCCCTAGGGCGACGCGACCGGCAGGGCAGGGGCGACGCGACGGGCAGGGCAGGTCGTCGCGCGGGTCCTAGGGCGACGCGACGGCCAGGGCAGGGCACAGCGGCGCGGGTAGGGCAGGTGCTCACCAGGGGCGGGTAGGGCAGGTGCTCACCAGGGGCGGGTAGGGCAGGCACGCGACTCGCGGTTGCAGGGTAGGGCCGCGACGAGGCGGCTGCAGGTCAAGGCCGCGACGGAGCGGCGGTACAGCAGGGCCGCGACGAGCGGCTGAGGGCAGGGCCGCGACAGGTGGCGGTAGGGCAGAGCCGCGACGGGCTGCGAGGTCAGGGCTGCGACGTGGGGCGGCAGGGCACGGCCGCGACGGGCGGCAGGGCAGGGCCGCGACGGGCGGCGGGTCAGGCCGCGGCGTGGGGCGGCAGGGCAGGGCCGCGACGGGCATCTAGGTCAAGGCCGCGACGGGTCGTTAGGGCAGGGCCGCGACGGGCCGGTAGGGCAGGGCCGCTACGGGCGGGAGTAGGGCAGGGCGCGCTACGGCGCAGGTGAGGCAGGCGCGAGGCGCGCTTCAGGTAGGGCAGGAAAAATCGTGGTGGGCCCTAAAAAAAAACACGTTCCCACTAGGGAACCTGCTCTAAAACCATGTGAATGATAGAACCTCATAAGGAGTACATGTAGGAAACCCTAAAGTGTTATACCCCATATGAACTACCCCATATGAACTACCCCACTACAGCCTACACAGACCATAGCATATAAGTTTGACAGTTACCCATGGTAACAATCTTAGCATAGAGCCCTCCATTGACCCACAGGGACTCGAAATAGCGGAGCTCTTTGTCGAGCACGTCAAGGTCAGCTATGACCTCGGCCTTGTAGTCTCGCTCAGAAGGATAAATCAGCCCTTTGGATAATTTCGGACCGTTGAGAAACATGTCCAAGACGTCACTGAGTGATGCTTGCAGCACAAACACTGAAGTAAGTAAGAAATGAAGAATCAAAACAGTGAGATAGCGAAGAAAGCGAGAGTACCTGAATCTTGGCGTCGTCAACCCAAGGTGGTTTGATCACGTGAATCATCAGCTCCTTAAGCATCTCCATCATCTCCCGCTGGCTCCTATCCGAGGCAGCAAGGCGAGTCTCCAAACGGCCAAGCGTCTCTCCAACCTTACGAACAGCGTTGCGGAGCTCCGTTTTAGAGCTCGGTCTCCCGTTGTTTGCCTCTCTGTGAAAAATGTTGCGTTCCGAAGGTGGATCATGTTCTCGGTATAAGATTTCAACACGAACATCGTATCAGGCACATTGAATCGGAATGTGATGGCAAAGAACATGCGTAACCAATAACAAGGACTCGATTAATCACTCACCTTTTTCAAGTTGCATCGGAGAAGCTTCCGCAAGGGGCAGTGCCGGTCCAACAGCATTGACTTGCTCTTGTGAACCAAGAGCATTCTCCCCGTTTCCTTTCGAGGAGCCTTCAGCGGCAGCACCCGGTGCTTGCTTCGACAGTGAGCCACTTCCATCGCTCTCTTCCGCGTCATCTTTCCCGCTACCCTTACGAGCCCCATACAGTTTCGCCTGATATCCCTTCAGCTTGACAGAGGGTTGTATTGTTCGCCTCTTACGTCCGGCGAAAGTCCTCTGAAGCTCCGTAGGGATTTCATCTGCCATGAAAACTAGTGGTGAGGAACTTAGTGGAAAGAAAATGATTATAACCAGTTGTGCAACAGACATTTTAAACGATAGGTGAGCAGGTTGTGACAGAGTCAACTCCATGCATTACCGTGCGAGAAACCACGTAAGCGTTGAAAGCGGATGGGCTTTAGCGGAGATACATAAGGTGGGTGGAACGTGGAGCTAGCAGAACTGATGAGTGGAGCTAGGCCAGGGAGGCCAGGAAGAGAAGAACGTGCATCCGTGGCAGCTCCACTCCTTCTAGCTCTGGGGAACAGGTTGTGCGCAGAGGAGGGGGTAGGGAGGGACGGGTGTGGCAGATGGGGTGCAAGGCGTGACGTGAACGTGAATAGTGACCCAACAGAAACCTACCGTGACAGCTCATCAACAGACACCCCACGGCTTAACATCACCGGGGAATGCACATCCGGGCAGGCTAGGCTCGATCGGGTTCAGTACAGAAGGTACACTTCGGAAAGCTGTCACGAGAAATTTGCTCAGTCTAGTCCTTGCGGGCAGGGATGTTTTTTTTTTTTTTTTTTTTTTTTTTTTTTTTTTTTTTTTTTTTTTTTTCTGATTCTGTAACTTCACCGAGACGCGTGCGCGCCAGATGGCGGGCGGAAGGAGAGGCACGGTGTCACTAGTCTGCGAGAAAGTCCCTGCCAGCAACTGTAAGTGTTGTTGAAACAGTGTCGCGATTTCCCAAGTCAGGTCGCGAGGCCAACGATTGGTCGTCGTGAAGCGCGGATGTACCTAGACAAATTGGAAATGTGACTGAAAGGCTGGAGCGCTCTTTAGGGAGCTGTTACAGTATTCGATAACGTGATCACCTGGTAAAGTCATTTCTGTCAAACAAAAACAGTTTGTAAAAAAACAATAAATGTTTTAAAAATCACACCAAACTCCTCATTTCTTAGCATGTGTAGTCAACAGGCCGTCACTAGAACTAGACCAGATGTTCTCACGAGAGACAACGGAGCAAAATATGGTGATGCTTTGCTGAGTACACCCGGAAACAAGGAACTTGAGTGAGTTCACATCAGTTCAATAGAACTTGAATTTGTTGAGAACAAATCGGTCGCCAGCAAGAGGCACGACATGAGCTACACGGAGAATAGCCTCTGCTTCAATGAGTTGGTACTCATTCCCCTCCTCATCCCAGGTAAGCACGGGGCAGTGCGAGCGGTGCGTCTCCTCTGTGACCTTGTAGAATCGCACGAAAGCATACTCCCGTTGCTCGACCTCATCGCGATCTGCCGTGAAAACGTCGGCAACAAAGAGGCAGAGAAGCCTAGCATACCACATGACCTGCTTTTCCGATTCTTCCCCAAGCACAGCCACATCACTGAACCAGGGCTTCTCCATGAACGACGGCGTCGCACGCACGTAATGGGCCTGACTGGAATATCTAGTAAAGTCCTCGTCCCCCGGTATCGCCATGCCCTTTTTCACATGTATCGTCGAGCAAATCTTTGTACCCTCGCCATCCAAACTTCCAAGCAGAGTTTTCAGCTCAGTCATGTCTCCAGGGGCAAGGGCAACATGCCCTTTCCAAGCATCCGAAGCCTCACACAGATTCTGCCGCCAATTCACCCTAAAGGAGCCAGCAGCAAAGGTGTTGACACCCTTCTTTATGGCCTGCCATGGAAACAGGGGCGAGAACACACGCATTCAATGAGATGAGGCCTCATACAATACTGAATCAAAGCAAATGATAGATTCAGGGCAGCAAAATTAGAGGGATCTCTCAAGCAATACCTTGCTGCCCTCTTTACACACCGCTTGTAAAGCCACCATTCGATGCGGACCATCGTCAGAGTTGGAATCGGCAGCTTGCAGAGTGCGAATCATGTGCGCCCTAACATCATGTCGCACAATTTGTGGCTCCGCGTTCCGCTTGTTGGTGGCTCTGTAGGCGCGTTTCACAAGTGGTTGGTGGAGATACTCGAACATGTTGGCGTTGTAATGGACGGGTACGCCCGATCGAATGATGTCATCCACTAGGTGTGCCATGTCATGTACTTTGGTCAAGTTGAATTCGTTGGCTTGTTGAGCGCCAAAGACGGGTTTCACCTGTGGAATCAACCTGCGATCATGCGGGGTACGTTGCGACGGATCGTGGGAAGGACAAATGGAAAAGGAGTGAGGGTCAATGGGCTGCACCAAGCTGCAGAGGGAACAAGGAGTTGGGGGAAGGAGAGGGATGGGATGCGAGGCACCGTGGGCTGCCCCACGCTGCAGAGGGAACAAGGAGTTGGGGGGAGGAGAGGAAAGGGATGCGAGGCACCGTGGGCTGCACCAGGCTGCAGAGGGAACAAGGTGTTGGGGGGAGGAGAGGGATGGGATGCGAGGCACCGTGGGCTGCCCCACGCTGTAGAGGGAACAAGGAGTTGGGGGGAGGAGAGGGATGGGATGCGAGGCACCGTGGGCTGCCCCACGCTGCAGAGGGAACAAGGAGTTGGGGGGAGGAGAGGGATGGGATGCGAGGCACCGTGGGCTGCCCCAGGCTGCAGAGGGAACAAGGAGTTGGGGGGAGAAGAGGTATGGGATGCGAGGCACCGTGGGCTGCACCAGGCTGCAGAGGGAACAAGGAGTTGGGGGGGGGGATAGGAATGGGATGCGAGGCACCGTGGGCTGCACCAGGCTGCAGAGGGAACAAGGAGTTGGGGGGAGGAGAGTAATGGGATGCGAGGCACCGTGGGCTGCCCCACGCTGCAGAGGGAACAAGGAGTTGGGGGGAGGAGAGGAAAGGGATGCGAGGCACCGTGGGCTACCCTACGACACACCTCTTGATGTCACGTCGTAATTCGTCAAGAGTGCCTTCCGTGTGGTACCAACGCCGACACCCCAGCATGTAGCAGTCGACAAACGCCGCTACCGCATCAATGACTTCTTGGGGCACGAGCGCAACCATGCTGAGAACAATGCATATCACTTGCATGACCGCGCGATGCTCGAACGCCTGAAAGTTTGAGCCCCCTGAAAAATACCCCCCCTTTTCCGTCCCAGGCATACGAAAGCCAGAAATGCGCGTGTCACCATTCACAGACTGAAGTGCATCATCAAGCTCAATCAGCACTTTGCGGTTCCCCTTGAACATGTTGCGAATGCAGGAGACAATGTGCAAGAAAACTCCCAATTCCCAAGCATGCATGACTTCAACAAGAATGGCACGATATGGGTTACCAACATCTGTGAGCCCGAGCGCAAAGCCCCAAATGGCGGCCTGGATGAGGGGGAGGTGAGGGGAATGTAACGACGAAGAACGATACGGGGGGGGAGGGGGGGTGGGGGTGAGGGGATTAGGTAACGACGAATAACGATCGATTCCAGGATGAAGGACATGGTGGGAATGGCGGAAGGGGAGGAGGCAGATTTAATAGTAGGGGGATACATGCAATAAGAGAGCGGAACGAGAGGATACAAAGAGTGAGCTGAGAAGGGAGCGGAGGGGAGAGGAATAACCTGGTTAGCAGAGAGTGCATAGGGAATTCCAAAACTAGGAGAACATGTGAGGGAGAGGGCAGCGGTGCCATAGACAGAGAGAGCACATGTGATGGTGAGGGCAACGGTGGCAAATACAAACCCTAAACATGTGAGAGTCAGGGCAGCGGTGGCAAATACAACGAAGGATGTGGGACGGTGATGGTGGGTGGGAGAATGGAAAACACTATATGGGGAAAGGGGGTGGGGGGGGAATGGAAGGGGGGGGCTGGAGATGAATTTGAGGGCGGCTTTTACTCACTTCTACAGGATGCGTGCTAACTTTTCGCGAAGCTACAAGGCGCTGATTGTTAACTTCGATCTCCATAAGCTCCTTGACTTTCTCCATTCGCCCACTTTCAGTACGATACACCAAACGCAAGTCCATGTTGCTAATGTTGTCCGTTTCCACAAGACATCTGTGGCAAGGAAACTTTGCCTTATGGCTTGCGAAAGTTCCAGCCACTTTGCATGCCTCCGGGTGATCCGCAACGTATGCGTACAACATCGCGTACACCATGCGCTCAACATCAAATGGATCGAGCATGGGCCTGCCACTAAACATGGGTTGGAAGTAGAAAATAGTTAATGCACCAGTAGTGTTTGATAATATCCAGCATGCAGTCAACATTGAGTCGATGGAGAAACATAAACGCTGTACCAACCTTGCTGAAAGTTGCTTGAGGTCGTGCAGCACGTGGCACATAGCTCTCTGGAAGATGTTTCGCCAGGTAGCCTTGCCCGCCTCCGTTTTTGCGTCAATGCCGGTCAAGGGAGGCAACAAGGCCACCATCCTGTGCTCATAGGGCTGCCATCTGTCTTTCACTTGGATGTTTGCGAGTGTGACATAAACAGGATGACCTACAACACGCCCATCCGAGCTTAGATTTGTTGCATCACTGTAGATAATGACATTTGCAATAACGCTACCACACGGAATTTCCAATTGCGCATTGATCCACATGTCCCCAGTTTCTGGGCCAGCAAAGATTCGTTTCCCGTCGCGCGTTTTAAGAGCCTCAGCCCACACAACAAAACCTTCAGCCACTTTTGGTTCAGCGTACAAACTCTGAACAGCATCCGCCATTGACGTTTTGTATAGTTATGCGGAACCATCGTTGTTCTCACTCACATCAATGCTTTCCCAAGTGGCAAGCCCACTCACCTCTGCCAATTGTTGTTTCTCGAACTTCTCCATGCTGGTTCTGTCACCAAATATAATGGTAAGAGCATCATATTGGAGACATATGCTAATTGGGTGTAGAAGTGGTGTAGCGAGTGTTATTCAATCTGCATGTGGGGTAGTTGGGTTATAGAGAGTAGCGAGAAGTTGGTAGCATTGGGGGTTACAGGGCGCTTCGGGGACAATTTCAGGAACCTCGGGAGACAGGCAATCTGGCGAGGGCCACTCCAAGGCCTAGGCGGCTCGAGCTCAACCCAGCACGCTGAGTTACTCGCGACTGGGCAGCCAAGCACAAATAGCCTAGCCTAGCATAGCAAACCTGTTCTCTCGTCTTGTGAGAAGTATACTCTCCCACACGATGGCTGCCCACAGTGGCGTAGTCACCTAGCTAGCGTAGCCTTGTTGCGGTAAGACGAGAGAAGCAGATAGGCAGTATGGACTGCCATGAGCTGCGGTGGCAGCGGACGTACTCGCGGCGGGAGATACCGCCGTCGCGAAGGATGCGCTCAAAGGAGCGGGGAAGATCGCCAGGTCGCTCGCCTAGCAGAGAGGCGGATCGGGCGGATTGGATGGCGACCAGTGACGGACTGCACGGTGAAGGCGAGCTCGGTCTGCAGATGAGATCGGCGCCAGGACCCCAGCCGTCGAAGAGCGATCCCTGGGATCTGGCAAGAGGCCAGCGGGGCGCGGGAGTAAGGCGTCAGGAGGATGCCGATGAGACGGACTCGCTGATGTTGGCAAAGGAGGCCGACGGCGAGGAGTTGGCGGAGGATGATCCCATGGACGAGGAAGAAGATCACTCGCCGGGCGACATGCGCAAGGCAGGCGAGAGGCGTCGTGGAGAAAAACGTGAAGAACGCGGAGAGGCGACGAGATCAAATCGCTCGACAGACGAAGTGTGTGGGAGTGGCGCAAGGCGACGCGGGAGCGCGGAGGCAGATGGCGCGACCGACGAAATGGGTGGGGGCGGCGCGAAACGCCAGGGGAACCGCGCGGATGCAGATCGCGCGCCAGAGGAGGTGCGCGGGAAGGAAGCGAGGCGCCAGGGGAATCGCGCGGAGGCAGATCGCGCGCCAGAGGAGGTGCGCGGGAGTCAAGCGAGGCGCCAGGGGAATCGCGCGGAGGCAGATCGCGCGCCAGAGGAGGTGCGCGGGAGTCAAGCGAGGCGCCAGGGGAATCGCGCGGAGGCAGATCGCGCGCCAGAGGAGGTGCGCGGGAGTCAAGCGAGGCGCCAGGGGAATCGCGCGGAGGCAGAACGCGCGCCAGAGGAGGTGCGCGGGAGTCAAGCGAGGCGCCAGGGGAATCGCGCGGATGCAGATTGCGCGCCAGAGGAGGTGCGCGGGAAGGAAGCGAGGCGCGAGGGGAATCGCGCGGAGGCAGAACGCGCGCCAGAGGAGGTGCGCGGGAGTGAAGCGAGGCGCAGCAGGAGCAAAGCAGCTGAGCCCTGGTCAAGGGAGCGAGGGGAGGAGGAGAAGAGGCGTGCTTCACCAGCAGGAGTGTATCGTTCGCCCGAGCCAGGACAAGGCCGTGCGGGCAGGAGGCGTATGGCGATGGGAGAAGGGAGATCGCTGGAATGGTCAGAAGAGGAGGAGGACGAGGATTACGAAGGAAAGCGCGTTCAGCACTCGCCAGCAAGGAGGCGGCGGCCAGCAGAGAAGGCGCGAGGCAGGGGTAGCATACGATCGCCACCCAGCGCCTCAAGGGAACAGGCGGGAGCGCGCCGTGAGAAAGCAGAAGAACACCTGTGGGCAGAGAGAAGGGCTGCAAAGGAAACAAGAGAAGAAGCAAGAAGGTGGCCCGAGAGAGAGAGCCGTGAGAGGAGGGGCGAAGGAGAGCGATACCAAGGGGGTGAAGAGGCAGGAAGAAAAGCGGAAACGGGGAAACGGGATCAGGAACGCCGAGGCTGGGAAGAGTGTGGAGATTATGAGGAAAGAGACAGGTGGGACTCACCGGAAAGAGGAAGGGAGTGGAGGCGCGAGGAGGACTGGCGAGGCAAGAGAGAAGGTGTGCGGACACCAGAAGTCTCGAGGGCAGCAGAGAAGGAGCGACAGCGAGAGGACAGAGTGCGGCAGTACCAGGAGCGGTCCCCTGCAAGGGGAGAGAAGCGTCGGGAAGATGCAGAGAGGCGCAGGGGGGAGCGAGAAGATGCCCGAGGGAGGAGCCCTAGCCCGATGGGCCCGAGGAGGCCGGGGCGTCACGGCATAGGATCTGCTGGAGCAAGAGCAGCTAGGGAGGGAATAGAGCGAGTGCTGTATGGAACCAGCACGGGCAGCAGGGGAGAAAGGGAAATGAGGAGAGGGGTTATGATGTCTGAGCAAGGAGGGACGGAGAGCTGGGAAACAGGGAAGTGGGGGGCAACAGCACAGCCGCGATTGGAGGTGCCAGTACGCTTCACGGGAAACGAGAAAACCGGCCCAAGTCTGAAGAACTATTTGATGCAGATCAGCAATGTTAAATACCGATGTGACAGAAGCGGGATGGACCCGATTGAGTTTTTTCTGAGCCTGCCAAGCGCGTTGGGAGGGGAAGCAGAGACTTTGTATCGCATGAAGATGGGTGAATGGCTGTGGAGGGCAGAAGAGGATGACGAGGACCCGACGGTACTGTTCCTGGAGCGACTAAGGAAGCAGTTCCCTGGGCATACGGCAGCGCGCATCAGGGAATTCCAGGAGTTTAGGCGGAGGGACGAGGAGTCACTGCTGACATACTACGGACGGTTAATGAACCTGGTGGAAGACGTGGTGTGCACGGACAGCAGCATGATCATTAGCAAGTTTCTGAATGGTTTAGACAAGGGATTGGCAGGAGGGTTGAGAATGAGAGTCTATGAGCTAGGAGCAGATGCAACCCCAGAGGAGGTATTCGAGTTAGCGGAAAGGGTGGAGCTGGCGCAGAGGAAGTATGAGGTATACCTGCCGAGGACGATAGAGAAGAATAGTCCTACCTGGGCAGCGGCGATGATACCAGGGGAGGGAGCAGGAGAAGAGAGCAGGCCGGAGAAAATGGCAGAGACACGCACCTGTTACCGGTGCGGACAGCCGGGGCACATAAGGATGCACTGCAGGAACTGCGATGCATGTGGGAAGCCAGGGCACCGCCGAAGGGACTGCCCGGAGGCACCGACATGTAAGGAGTGCGGAGAAAGGGGGCATGAAGCTGTCACCAAATATAATGGTAAGAGCATCATATTGGAGACATATGCTAATTGGGTGTAGAAGTGGTGTAGCGAGTGTTATTCAATCTGCATGTGGGGTAGTTGGGTTATAGAGAGTAGCGAGAAGTTGGTAGCATTGGGGGTTACAGGGCGCTTCGGGGACAATTTCAGGAACCTCGGGAGACAGGCAATCTGGCGAGGGCCACTCCAAGGCCTAGGCGGCTCGAGCTCAACCCAGCACGCTGAGTTACTCGCGACTGGGCAGCCAAGCACAAATAGCCTAGCCTAGCATAGCAAACCTGTTCTCTCGTCTTGTTTGCCTCATATAGTGGATAACGTTACCGCAACAAGGCTACGCTAGCTAGGTGACTACGCCACTGTGGGCAGCCATCGTGTGGGAGAGTATACTTCTCGTAGTGGCTGAGAACGCAGAAGGGAACAGGGTAACAGGAGTGGGGACAGCACAAGGTGGGGAAAGGCCAGAATAAGAAGGAAGGGAAGAAGGTGAGGACAGAAGGCAGGGAAGAGGCAGGGGCAAGGGAGGAGTGAGGAAGGAGAAGGGAAGAACTCCGACAGTTCGGTTGTGGTACACTGGTTTCTTATATTTGGGATGGTGCAAAATGCAAAGAATGCGATTGATATCAAAGGCAGATAACCCCATCCCACCATTACATGATAACAAAACAGTCAAAAGAGCAATATTCACATCCCATTCAGGTTCAACGCAAGGTGGATCGTCCTCCACTCCTAGCCCAACAAAGGGGGGACTAGGCTTTCTCTCAAACTGACTCCCAACAGCAGGAAAGTGGAATGTTGGTTCGGATTGAGTGGGTGGACCAATCCCTTGAAACGCGCTGCCTCTATCGCTCTCTGTCCTGCTCTTTGTCCTCTCATGCACGCTGCACCCGTTCCATGAATGCAACATGCTCATCACGCCTTGTTGCTTTCCCAAGTCTGCACGAGTAGCAAAATTGCCGTGAGCAGATGCATGATACCACCATGATTGCCACGGAAATCAAGAGTTGCACCCTAAACCGTAGGTTGACTGTCATAGAAGCCAGATTAGAGATAGAAGATCTCTGATTGAAATTCAAAATGCGGGCTAATAATAACCTCTCATTCCAAAAATCCGTTCCTGTAAGAGACTAAACTTCGAAATGGCAAAATAACAGCAGATTTCAACAGCTGTGCTTTCCAAACATGCAATAAGCTGCTGGAAAGTGTGTAACGTCTAGATTCTGGAGGCATTTGATTCTAAGTCAATTAGAAGGCATGCTGAGTTCCTTGTTCAGATTGGGTCTCGAAACCCTAGCAACGGGAAGATTTAGAGGTAAGGAAGAGACATGAGTAATTTTTTACGCGGTGGAATGAGATGATATGCATGTGAGAGCGACTAGTATATATATCTTCGCGTTTAGGTACGGTTTAGAGCATAACACCGTTTTGATTTGAGTGGCCTTTGTAGGGAAAGCGAGTTCAGTAGAAGGACCCTTGCTACTGCGGGGATTCACCAATCAGGTCCAGGATTCGAAGATTCTTGATTGGTCACGGGGAGAATTTGAGTCGGTCGAGATATCGCGTTACCATCCTTACGACACGAAACGATCATGCTGTAACACGGTCGCAACGCGCGAAATTCAATCGCGGCACCCTGACGAAAAAAAAAAAACGCCCGTCAGGGATTGGGCGATGCCCTCAACCACCACAAACAGTGGATTCGATACCATGTTATAGGCTGACTTTGCTGTTTTAAAGGCCTTGTGGTCCATAAATTTCCTACGTAGGTACTTTCACTTCAGCAATCACTGATTACCTCTAACAAAAAACTATTATAATTGCATCAAACTATATATTGCACACAAATGTAATACAACACAGTCATGTAAAATACTAGTAATAACCCAAAATAAGGTAGAAAATGTGAAGAAAACCGATGGTCCAAAAATACAACATAACATTTTCCGACAATCCTAAAATGCAACAATGCTGATTAATATGCGGAATGTACATTTCTCTAATCTCCGACAGTAACGAATGTGTGTATACGCAGAGACTATCAGCATAAAAACTCAACAAGGAAGACACGCACTTGCGAAACTTGCCCCACGACACAAGCAGTTAGCAGGCAGACTCTGCCCAATTTGTCGACGTTGCGCTCTGATTGGTTGCGAGAGCACAGACATTCGTGACAATCGCCAACGCGATTCCCATATTGTTTCCCCCCCAATTTCCCACCAACATTATCGCCAAATTATTGCCTCATCGATTGCCAATGCAACACCGCAAATGTGCGATGGCCAAAACTCTCTCTAAACCCAAAACGTTGGCAAAGTTACTGCTTCGGAGCGCGTGTTGAGCAGCGAATTCATGCATTAGCTGCTGAACAGATGCAGCACAGGTGAAGGAAACATACAATAGGTGAATTAGAGTTGAAATACAGTGTTACAAGGAGGATACACTACACCCACAATCGCCCACATACATTATACACCCACAAGCACAAGGCTAACATCCGTTGCAGCAAGCAGAAGCCTCCTCGTCCTTCCCCCGCCACTACTGCACGCTTCCAGCCTCGGCAGCCCACCCCCCCTGTTGCTTGGAGTTTCAAATAGCAGCTGCTAGACCTGCACACAAAAGGACAAGGTAGGGAGGTGGTACCAATCAGTTCTTCAGCACCGTGCACACAGGGGCGTGTGGGCCCCACATCATAGGCTCTATAGACTCTGCGGCGCTGCAAAGGGACAGCTATCATGGCCTTTCCATGCGGCGCACATGCCGAGATGATGACTACAGCACTTGCACACACGGGGGTGGGGTGAGTACTAAGGTCGGGTGGAAATCAAAGCACAGTGTGAAGCTTGCTTGCTCCAAAGGAACAGCTAGCATGGCCCAATTCCCTTGCACATGGTTTCATGATGGGCTTGTATGCAGCATACCGCACCACACCCCGCAGTATCGCCCACTCTCCAGCTTACTGCCCGCACGCAAGTTTCTTATTCGTACATGCGGGGTCCGCACCAAGGCAAACATATTTGACAGAGCAGTCTACCGCCGGTGAAGGTCCTGCAAAAGGCGACAGTAGGGAGAGACTGTTTAGCAAGGACAGCCGCAACAAGGACTAGTAGTCATCTTCTCTCTTTAGGTCACCGAGAAGCGGCATGAATGGAGGCAGGAGTTTGAGATTTCTGGAAAGGGCGCACAGCCTTACGGTGAGCACGAAATCAACAGAAACGGCAGAAAAAATAAAAATAAAAAAAATCTCGAGTTCTTGTGAGGGCTTGCCTTTACTATTGTTATAAGTGACGAACAATTTGTCATTGGCCCACATCACAGCATTTTTAAACCACCCGAGTTTGCGGCGGCTCTGCTCGTCATCCCTGGATCGAGCACCGCTCGGCGCGCCCTCCGCCGTGATGACGCCGGCGGTGTCTACCGCTCCCGAGACACCTGCGGCCACTCCATGCCGACACGTAGATTCGCGCAGGGAACGAGGGGACAGGGAAAAGGGGTGAGGGGAGTGATGATGGGGCGGGAGAGAGAGACAAGCAGATCTATCGTGTGGAGCCAATTTCTCATGGAGCCAAATCTCTCACTTCTCGAGATGCGCGTCACCATCGCACAGAGATGCGCGCCACCATCGCAAGGAGACGCGCGCGGCCATCGCACGGAGATGCGCGTTGTGAGACTTAGGACAAGGAATGACTAGAATGAGAAAATTACAAGGTTTGTATAGGCAAAACCTAACAGGGCTGTACCCCATAAGGAGTGCCCCACTACATCCTAGAGTATAGTTCTGACACACCCCCATAGGCAAAGTGGGGGACAAGCAAAAGAACAAAGCAAAGGTCAAGCTCAGGGTGGATCACGACGTCACCACACATTCTGAGCACAAGCAAAAGGCCACAGGGCCAGTTCACATGCAGAGTTACATAAAGAGGAGAGCAAGTAGTACAGTGATCACAACCTAGCAAGTGTAAGCATGCAGGTGCAGGTATATATAAATCACAGTACAAGCAAAGTCAAGAGGTGAGCAAGTGAGGCCAGGTAGGCA